CATAAAATGCGCTGCACACATCTGAATATTTGGGTTGAACTGTTCCAGAACAGTGTTGTAAATGCAACGTAACCACTGATTTCTAGTTGTGTCCTCTTTTGGAAGGCCAAACAAAGTAGTTTCGCATTCATAACGAAACACACAGCATCTTCACAACATGGCGGCGGCAACAACAATACTACAGCGAGAATCAAAGTTACGCCTTTCTTTGCGTGAACATTTGGGCGGCGTTATGCAAATCTTCCCACATCGTGACGTAGACATGTGGGGGCGTGTTTAAACGAGCCATTTTAGGTAGGCGTGGTTGACTTTTATAAAGAATATCTCTTTGGATTTGAGACTTTAGTCTTTGCAACTTTACAGATCTTCTTTATGCACCAAGAGTTTGTAACACTCCAAAGAGAAAGGAAAAATTGAAATCGCATCATATGACCCCTTTAAATTAATCTTTGGAATGAAGTGCTACACAAATAAATGTGACATGGCTTGAATACTGAACTGGAGAGCTGGTGCAAACATATCCGCATCTCTGCAGTCAGGTGCTGCTGTTTTCTCACTGCTGTTTATTTTGTTATTGAGAGGAAAGCGCGCAGCACATATTCATCTAAATGCAGAAGGTGGTCGCTAACAGTATACCACTGCTCAGGCATTTCAAACTTCTTTTTGCCAGACTGATGGGAATTCTGGAGCGTAGTACAAAGAAGAACTTCGCTGTGAGTATATCGGGGCCTTACTGCGGTAAAGCTGCCCACACATGCACCAACATCTCTATGGCTTGGAATCTGATCGGAATACATTTTAGCATACTTACCACAGCGTACAGACCCTGAAACTAAAACATAATATCTGTTAATGAATAATGAACTACCATTGAATGAACCTGTTAATATTTGAGGCATAAAAGACCAACACATATTTCTATACACTGACCACTTAAACTCTTACCATGAGGTTTGCCTAATAAAAGTTCTGGCGCCAAGTAATCAGGAGTTCCCAGGATAGGAGCCCCTTCTACACGTTCTGGACCTCTACGAACACTTTTTGGTGTCCTATAGGGAGTGTGAGACATAATCATCTGCTGTGGAGTCTAGAAAAGAAAAAGAAAACATTCATTATTTTCCAATTCTGATTTAAATCCTTTTTGTCCAGTTTTGTTTGAGTTCCAAACGACTCTAAGAGGCTCCTCACCTGGTAAAGTGAGCTGCTCAGACTAGGCCTTTTCTTCTGAACCGGAGTCACTGCAGACTGGGCATTGTGGAAAGAGGTTGACGCAGACATTTCCATGGCATCCAAAGAGGCCAGGCTGAGATGTGACATACAAGAGCGGTTTATGGAGCTGCAGTAGCTCCTGAACACAACCACATTCCTGGGTTTGAGGAAGCCAGGCGATTTGACCATACTGTCAGACAACCTATGAGGATGGCTAAGAAGAGAACGCTCAGATTTACCCCTATGCTGCTTTGCACTGCTATGCTTTGGTGTAGCCAATGTGGGTCGGGCCGCCGGTGTGACTACGGAAATCTCATTTTCCTCCAGCTCCTCAAAAGAGGACAACAAAGCCTCTTGTTTTAAGTCCTTCGATTTTTGTGGTGTGTTAGCAACCACCGACATTTCATGGGCCGAGCCGTCCGAATCTAAACTAAGGCTTCTTCTGATATTTCGGTCATCACCGGATGAGGTCGGGGAGCTCGAGTTGGCCTCTGCTTTAAGCAAAGCCACCTCCTCGCCTTGATCTTCGAGATCACAGAAGAGGTTTTTGGCCACGGCTATGGGACTAGATTGCTTTGGGCCAATTCTCTCACTCAACTGTTGACATATCGGTGCACTTTTAACATCATCAAGCCCCACAATTGAGAAAATTCCTGTCAAGCCTGTGTGGACCCTTGAGTTGTCCTCAGGAATGTGGAAAGACCTCTTGTACACTGCGTCGTTTTTCTTGCAATGGATCTCAGCCTGTTCTGGGCTTTTCTCTACTTCTTCAAAAGCTCTCTTTACTGAGGATTTGGGCTCTGTTGGAAGCTCTGGTTTTATAAGACCGTTCCCAACGGACTGATGGGGATCAGCCTTACCTAGTGGAGTAGTACAGTCGTCGGATGCACTAAATTGAAGCCTCTTTGCAGAAATATCTGGTTTAATATTTCTGCTATTGTCCACTTGGTTATTGAGCGGAGTCAAAACAGTGCTGTGATCTTGAGCTCGTGCTGGAAACATCTTCCTCCTTTCCACATGTGTCAAGGGAATGTTTCTATTGCCCACTTCTCTTCCGTTTAACTGTGGAAGGTTCTCGCCATCTTGTAAATTCTAGAAATGCATGACATTTTCAGGTTAGTTTCTTTTATAACATACAGTAACGTTCAAAAGGAGTTTTTTTGTTTGTTTTGAAATAAATACTTTTATTCAGCATGAGTACATTAAATTGTTCATAAATATCAGTAATGATATTTATAACGTTTTAAAAGATTTCTATTTCAAATAAATGCTGTTCTTTTAAACTTTCTATTCATCACAGAATCCTGGAAAAATATACCACAGTTTCCACAAAAGTAGTAAGCAGCACAACTGTTTTCAACAATAATAATCATAAATGTTTCGTAAGCACCAAATCAGCCCAAAAAAAAAAAAAAACCTTATAGGATTCCTAATAGATGATTATTTGCCCTTTTGTAACATTTTCTCAAATCATAATTGAGAAAAAGCATCATCCTTAAATGTGTGTGAAAAATACTACAAAATTAAATTCTATAAAAATAAAGTATTTTTAAATACAAAAAAGTACAGTAATACAATATGCATGATATATAATATAAAAAGTATTAAAGTGCCCCTATTATGGATTTTTGAAAATTACCTTTCATGCAGTGTGTAACACAGCTCTAAGTGAATGAAAACATTCTGCAAAGTTTTAAATCTGAAAGTGCACAGTGTAAAGGTATTGTCTCTCAAAAGAAAGAGTAATTTTTATAGCGAATCCCACGCCGTTTCATGTTGACATCAACATGAAACATTAGCATATTGCCCGCCCACTTGTTGGTCTTTTCACTTTGGTCTAAATGAAAATGCAAATTCATTCTTTGCCACTAGGTGCCGCTTTTGCAGCAGTAAAAATAGCGGTTTCCGCGGTAACGGCTGTACACAAAGCAGCACTGCACTCACAAACGCTGCTTTATCAGGCATTACAGGC